ACCTAGTCTATCTGTTCTGTTATTCTGTTATTCTAGTTCTGTTATTTACTCTTCAGTTTTTTATATTGTTAAGTGTTATGATGTAAACACCAATGGCAGATATGTCCTTTCATGTAACTAGCATAACATATAAATATTAAATTGAAGCGGCGGCGGCAGATTATTCAGAATCTGTCATTTCTTTCAAACCTGTGTTCTACTGCTCTCTCACTAATCTTTCTCCTCTTTCTTCTTCACTTTCTCTTCTGTTCAAACCTGAAATTCCTTAGTGCCCAAGACTGATAGCAGTCTTGATCATCTTCAGTAACTAATAAACATTTGTCTTGAAAACTTTAACAAACTACATAGTTGTCTTTCTGGAGGGGATAAAGCAACTGGATGTTTTCATCCCTCTTTAGAATATTATTGATGATAAATAACTTTCTTTTTATCTTGAAAACTTCAATCAACTACATGCTTGACTTTCTGGAGGGATGCGTCAACTTGATTTTTCAAGACCTTAAAATCTGATTGTTCATAATTTGGTGGATATCTTGTATTTTAATAATCTTCTAGAAGGAAAGAAAATGTCACATTTTTTCATCTTCCCATTTCTCTTGACCATGTGCCGAGTACCGTTATATCAATGCAAATGGAGATATGGACCCATTGATTTTCCTTGAATTCTTTTGCTGGGTTTAAACCCAAAGGAAATCAATATTCAACTGAACAGTTAGCTGATTGCATGCTTGGAGAGAAAAATAATTCCATTTCCAGTGTAAATCTAAAAAAAAAAAGATAATTCTAATTCCAGTCATGTGCCKAGTACCATTATATCAATGCAAATGGAGATATGGACCCATTGATTTTCCTTGAATTCTTTTGCTGGGTTTAAACCCAAAGGAAATCAATATTCAACTGAACAGTTGGCTGATTGCATGCTTGGAGAGAAAAATAATTCCAATTCCAGTGTAAATCTAAAAAAAAAAGATAATTCTAATTCCAGTACACTTAATGAATATCAGTCATCGTGAGTAAATATTTATGCTGGTCTATATATGATTTTAACACAAAACAACTGCTTTTCTAAACAGGCTGTTCAGGATGGTGTGGACATTCTCAATCTCTCAGTGGGGCCAAACAGTCCTCCAGCAACAACCAGGACTACATTTTTAAACCCTTTTGATGCCACACTTCTTTCAGCTGTGAAAGCAGGAGTTTTTGTTGTTCAGGCAGCTGGAAATGGAGGCCCCTTTCCCAAGTCCTTGTTGTCTTACAGTCCATGGATAACATCGGTAGCTGCTGCAATTGATGATCGCAGATACAAAAATCATTTGACACTTGGAAATGGAAAAATCTTACCAGGAATTGGTTTGGCACGTAAGTTTTGTATGCTTCTTGTTGTTATCTTGTATAGATTCATCATGATGTGGTAACTGGTAATAGTCAGGGGAATATAACCATACTGGTAGGAAAATTCTTAGAAATGAAAATCAAAATTTTGATTTAAACAATCCCTGGAAACATAACAGACCAAGGTTGAACATAGTTATCTGTATTTAGCAAAATGTCAAAACTGAGATTTTTCCTTTTTTTTTTTGTATATGAGACTTTTTCTTGTGCAGTCAAATTATCAATGGGTAGCTAACTGATTCATCATCTCCTAGTGTTGTTGATTTAATAACTGGTAATTCTGCCAAAATTATTTTTAAACTATCTCATGTGAGACTACCAGAAGGCTATGATACCTGAATACCTGTACATGCTTAGGCTGCATTTGGCATTCTTATTTTAAGGACTTATCTCCTTTTTGCAGTTAAAAAGTCAGGGTTCATCAAGGCACTTTAATTGCAAAAAGGGGATAAGCCCTTAAAATAAGGAATGCCAAATGCAGCATTAGTGAACAATTGCTGGACATGATAAATACCTGATTCAATACCAGATACTGCATGGTCACTTCCTAGAGTATGTTTATATCATTTAGACTTTTATTGGTGCTTCTTAACAAACCATACCATAATAAACCTGGGATATCTATACCTGTATCATTGTCTGGGATCTTAGGAAATAGAGTCCTATCACTACTTTTTCTTTTTGATAAATAGTCATATCACTGCTTCACATATCCACATATCCATTTTTGTGAGCTATCCAGTTTGCTCTGTCTTAAACGGTCGACAATTAGAAGTTTAGAACTGATAAAGTGGTATTTATTATTATATGTACATGTTTCTAATGCCATATATTTTGCCAAAATGACTGAGCAACTGAACCAAAATGGACCTATCTGGTTTAGTTCATAAAAGAATCTGTTTTTTTTTTTATAGATGTTCATAAAATAATCTGTTTGTTCTTCTAATCTCCTCACTATTGAATTAGAGTTTGCTTTGGTACCAAAATTGATATTAGATGACTATTTTTTGTGTCCTAACTGATTCTGGATGAACACCAGTTACCAAACGTTGATAATGAAGGTAAAAAAGAAGAAGGAAAAAAAGATTATAACAAGGAGCAATATGAAATTTAGAGAAGTTTGTGGGAAATTGGGAGTTTTTCTGTGGATCCCACAAGTTCTAGCATCCCATAGGGAACTTAATGAGAGGTGAAGTGGTCGTAGTGCTAAATTCCAATCTTCTAGAAATTTATTAGTTTTAATAAAACATACTATTTGTAGTAATATCCAAACTCACAATTTTTAGTAATTTCTGGTTTCTTTGGAATCATTAAGTTAGGGTTCTTATTTGCTTTAAAGAGTTTGTGCATGATTAGAAGTTTCTACCCATTATTTATTCCTTTTCTTGGTCATTAAGTATTTGAGTTTGTTAGTGTAAGAGGCCTGTCCTACCCCAAAGCTTTATATTTGTAAAGCTTCACTTAAGAGATAGGTTGAGTTTGAAATAAAATCGGTTTATTTTGGTCTTTGGTACCTACCTCCCTCCCCTCCCCCCCCCCCTTCTCATCTATTCTCAACTTCATACCTTTGGTTCTGGATCCATAAGACTACTCTCATATTTTATACATTATAAAGTGGACATTACCAATAAAAAGAATCTATTGGACTACCCCTATCTGTCCACATCAGTAGAGCAGGTTAGTGGAATTTTATTCTCTAGTATCCAGGGTTTAGCAATTCAAAGTTTAATGGTAGCTCCACAGGCTATAGTATTTCTAAGGGTTATTTGTTAAGGGGAAGTCAGGGTCGAACAATTAAGATTGCTGGCACATGGTTGGCACTTGGGCTCTGTTTGATAACAGCTGAAATGGTTGAACTGAAAGACTTATTGCTTAATCTTTTAGTGAATAAATTATTAAGGAGTTATCTATCAAAAATAAATAAATAAATAAATTATTAAGGAGGTGAGCTCCTTAATGGTTGAAGCTGAAATTGGGTTGATTATATTATTCCATCAACTACTTTATTATTTTGTCTGCTAAAAGACAAAGCAACAAGTCATTCAATTCAGCCACTTCAACTTTTATCAAAAGCCCCTTGGAATAATTAAGAAAGTATGACTTGGCATTATGGATTGAATACAGAATAAGCTTTGCAAATTGGCATATGGACCCTCCAGGGATCCCGGTGCAAATTTTACAGATTCACATGCCAGAAGTTACTCTAGACTTAAAACTATGATTGATATCTGCAAAATCAATGTAGAGATTCTGAAAATAAAAGTCATACAACCAAAAATTAGTTCCTTGGGCATTTAACACGGGAAAATATGGCACCAAAAGAAGGGGTTTTCTCTATTGTTTGGACAGCACTTTATCAGCGTGCATACCAACTTAAGAACATTTGAAGTAGATCTGAGTCTTGCAGCCTCATGATTATTATCCATGGATGACAGCCATATAGGATGCAGCAGATAGTGGAGCATGACCCTCCATTAGATGTATCCAAGAAGGATATATCTGGAAATGAAGTAATGTCCCTCCCTATTTAGTACACTCTCCCCTCTTTTACCATCCAAAGAATGTTTGGACTGGTGGTGTGCATTTTGATAGGACTAGTTGATTTAAGAGTTAAGTATGGAACCTACAACACAGTGCTTGTTCCATGTGTGCAATTCATCCATTGCTGATCATGTTTAGAACAACCCAGACTGAACCAGCTAGTTGAATCAGGTTGTAGCAGAACCAGGACCCTTTCCAGTTCATATCAACTGCATGTCAGAGGCATAATGAAACATGGTTAAATTGAACCATGAACTTTTTATCCAAATTTAACTGGTTTCCAGTTACTTTTGATCCATATCAACTGCATCTGTGGTGTTATGTTGATGCGATGGTCAAATTGGCCAAACCATGATTTAACCAGTCACCCCAGGTACTACAGGCCTTTCTGGGTTGATGCTCAGTAAGCTTTAAAACATTTGTTTTGAGATGTGGAAGTCACAAAAGTATAAATTTGGTTCTCTATTATCGGAACCATCCAACGTGAGCATCTGCTCTTATTTTGGCAGTAATGTCGACTCTGCTTACTATCCCACAGATGCATCTGCTCTTCTGTGCTGATATATGTTCTTGTGGCTAATTGCAGCTGCTACAAGTTGGAACAAGACATTCACCCTTGTTGCAGCCAATGATGTAATGTTGGATGCTTCTGTTACAAAGTACAGCCCTTCGGACTGCCAGAGGCCTGAAGTATTGAACAAGAATTTAGTGGAGGGTAACATTCTTCTATGTGGATATTCGTTCAATTTTGTTGTAGGTAGTGCATCAGTAAAAAAAGTCTCAGAAACAGCTAAGAGCCTTGGAGCAGTTGGCTTTGTTCTTGCTGTTGAAAATGTTTCTCCTGGTACCAAATTTGATCCTGTTCCAGTTGGTATTCCTGGGATTGTCATCACGGATGTCAGCAAGTCGATGGTAATATCCTATGCTTAAGCTTCAATGTTGATTACTGCCAAAATATATTCAAAACTTCATGTTGTGCAAGATAGTATAGATGAAAGAAGGCATTGTGCCTTTTTATCATGAAAAGCTTCATATAGCACCTATTTATTGGGCTTCGTTATCTCGATTGCAGGAACTCATAGACTATTATAACATTTCTACTTCAAGAGATTGGACTGGACGAGTGAGGAGTTTTAAGGCAACAGGTAGTATTGGGGATGGTCTTATGCCTATACTCCACAAATCTGCACCCCAAGTAGCATTGTTCTCTGCTCGAGGACCCAACATAAAAGATTACAGCTTCCAAGATGCAGATCTTCTCAAACCAGATATTCTAGCTCCTGGTGATCTTATTTGGGCAGCCTGGGCCCCAAATGGAACAGATGATTCTAATTATATTGGTAAGAAACTAATGATTTTCAAACAATTCCATGTCTCTGTTTCCTTATCTCCTGCTCTGAATGTTCACCAAGATATATTGTGGTACAATAAATTGGAAGAAGTTGAGAGGAATTCTTGCTTTGAAACAGGAGAGGGATTTGCTTTGATATCTGGAACTAGCATGGCAGCACCACATATAGCCGGTATAGCGGCGCTTGTGAAGCAGAAACATCCACATTGGAGTCCAGCTGCCATAAAATCTGCCTTAATGACAACCTCAACAACATTGGATCGAGCAGATAGGCCTCTTCTGGCCCAGCAATACTCTGGATCATCTGAAACTATTACACTGGTGAGTGCTACCCCATTTGATTATGGGAGTGGCCATGTGAATCCCAGAGCGGCTCTGGATCCTGGACTCATCTTTGATGCAGGTACTTTCTGACCTAGGAAGCATCACAAAAATCACCACAAATTGCTTTCTAACTAGGTTAATCCTCACTTGTGTAGGTCATGAGGACTATGTTATGTTCTTGTGTGCAATACCAGGCATTGATCCTCATGAAATAAAAAATTTCACTAGCTCATCATGCAACTCGACTGTTGGCCGTGCATATGATCTCAACACCCCATCAATCACTGTCGCCCATCTGGTGGGAACTCAGACCGTTACGCGCACAGTTACAAATGTTGCAGAAGAAGAAACCTATGTTCTAGCACCAAGAATGTCCCCAGATATTGCAATTGAAGTCGACCCCCCAGCAATGACTTTGCTGCCTGGAGGGTCACGGAAGTTCACTGTGACTCTCACTGTGAGATCTGTGACAGGAACCTACAGCTTTGGAGAAGTTCTAATGAAAGGTAGCAGAGGTCACAAGGTAAGGATCCCAGTGGTGGCTATGGGTTACCAGCATTGATTGTGTTGGTTATCTATGTACTACGAGAGGATTTTGATATTCTTTGTGTAGTAAAAAATGAAATAAGATTTTGTTATGTATTTATATAGATATATCTGAGGAAAAGATGTAAAGTTACTCGTGCGAGGAGGAAATTCTAGTTTCCACTTAATTTAGTTTTTTTCATCTTTTGGTTTTGATGATAATTGCAACCAACATCCCTTATAAGAAAAAGAGTGGAAGTCTTGGGTGAACCTTGGAGACTCGGTCCCAGTCTTCCAGAGGATGCTTGTTACTTTGTTTTGAATTTTGATGGGTAGAGAATGATTGTTATTTGATAAAATTGAGCTCCATGCGCCCCACTGATCAAACATTAGAGTTTTCTGTTCAATCTGCGGCTAGGTTGATCAATCTTCGCAATGGTTCTTGCTTTGTTCTTCTTTAGCACTTCAGAGTGAGGTGTAATATGGTTCTTGAAATCAAATGGTTTCTGTGGTTTATCCAAGGTAGATTTTAGAGGAAATGTTGAAGGACCAAAAGCATCTGGCACAATTTATAAGACATTTTATGATATTATTTTAAACTCACCCTTCATCTTTTTGGGATTCTCTTGGGCCATGTTTTCTTCAACTCTCATTCTTGCTCATTATTTCTAACAATAAAATTGTAGAATTGACAAAATGGGTATAATGAGAAAATATTGCTAGAATTAAACATTTTTTTCAAAAATAAAATGATTAATTTCTTTTTGTGTCAAAAATGAGAATATCGTTTGAACCTATTACAAATATAATAAAATATCATATAACTGTGTTCCATGTTATTCATTTTTATTCTTTAAAGAAGCTTTGTGCCAACAGTTTAGGGGGTCTGTAGTGTGGATGAGAAATTGGGTGGTGTATTTTCATCCACACAAATATGGCATGGATACATCCACACTCCACACCATGCCGTAGTAGGATAGTTGTCCTACACTGGATAAAAATATGTAGGTTGAACCACATCATAACCTCATAGGCGTACTACAAGGTGTGGTGTAATTCAACCATGCTCTATGTTTTGATTTCATGCATCTTGCCTACATTGTGTGAGATGATCTGTGTTGTTAATCAAGAATAAACAATATTCTATTTTTTAAGTAATATATATTATAAATAATTAAGATAATTAGTAAAAACCATTTGTTAAAAAAGCAATAATAAATCACAAAAATTAATAAAATATTATAAAAATTAAAAAATATATTAAAATTAGTAAATTTCCAATAGTGATATTTTTTTATAAAATCAAATAATTTTATAAAAAACGATAATTTTTATACAAATTATAGAAATTAAAGGAAAGGTCCATGATTTTGGAATTATCGAGATTGGATAAAATGCTTTGTGTGAAGTAGGAAATCATTAATTTTGGAATTGGCCACCATGGTGTGGAAAAGTCCACGAGATTTAACCATGGACGATATTTTAAGACATGTTGTGGGCCGTTCCACGATATAGTGTGGTTCGGCCCACACCACGGTGCAACCAAACGATGAGGTGAGGCATGGCGTGTTTCAAAATGGAATATATCATAGACATGCCATCGTTCCAAACACCACCTAGGTCTTCAAAACTGCCAATATAGATTTTTATCAAATTTTTAATAAGTGGAGAGAGTAGTGAGAGAACATACGTGGTCTACAATTTGAACATGATGATTTAGACATGAGACAAGGCTCTTGGGTTGCACCTTGGGTGGGCCTAACCTGAGCTCTTGCATAGGTTGGGAATGAGTTGAGATCTTGGGTAGTCCAAGTCTGGTCCAATACAATCCAAGGTTGCCTAACCTTCTATAATACATATATATATATATATATATATAACTTAGGTTATGTGCCCATGATCGACATTGCGCTGCATGAACATAAGGAAGAGTATCTCAGTAATCACAATGAAAAGCTATTGTAGCATATGACCTTATGAATGCACCTATAGGAGCACCAATTCGTGTCATTAAGAAAATGGTGAATACTGGTGATGATCCATTGACCTTTCAGTCATTGAGCAACTTAGCTGAAGAAAATGGCCTATTCAACTGAGTGATCAACTATGCTTTATCACTTAGAATCAGCTTTTAATGCAAGCCCAAATTGAGATTCTTTCAAGAGGTCCATTTTGTTTGGGTTCCATGTAAGTATTCTTAAATGAGTTCCCTTAAGTTTTATTTCCCTAAAATATAAAGTTGTAAGTTAGTTTCTCCTGATCTCCTAGATAAACATTCAATTTCATACTTGATCTCATTTAGTTTATCTATGTGAGCTACTCTTATAGTACAATAGAACCACAAAGGAAGCAAGGAAAATGGTTCCAAAAGAAAAGGAAACAAAAATAATAGTTTTCAATTCTTGTTAGTGAGGAATTTCTTTTCAATTCTTGAAAGGAACTATTATAATGGTTTCTTTCTAGGAGGCTTGGAGATCAATATTATTCAAACATAGAATTCTTGCTTATTGTATTTTCTTTTGTGTTTATGCTTTAACTATTATTATTATTACATAGTTTTGAATCTTGTGGAATCTAATAGATGTTCTCCATCAAAGGGACGTTTCTTCTTGACATAATAATTTCATGGAAGGGATTGATTTGTTATTTGAATTATCATATTCAATTAATAGAATGCTCAGTTGTCAGGGGACATTGCTAAGAGTTTGCCACGTGTCTTATGAGATCACTCTAGGACGATGTTTTCTTTCGTCTAAGGATTCTCATAATACGCATGTGATACTTCCTTTTGTGGGTTTTTTATACTTACATGGCATGGATGAAGTTAGTGCTAGCCTGATGTGTCTTCCTTAATCCTACTGGGTGTCCTATCACGAGTGATACTGGCTAGTCGTATTTTCGTTCATCGCCAATTTGTGATGGATTTAAGCTCATCGCAGGCTCACGATGACTTTAGGCTCATCGCAAGTCCGTGGTGAATTCGGATTCGTCATAGGTATGTTGTGGCTTTGATTTCATCACAGGTCTGTGGTGGCTTTGAGATCATCACAAGTCTATATAGGCTTTGAGCTCATCGCAAATCTATGGTGGCTCTAAGCTCATCGCAAGTTTGTGCCGAGTTGTGAATTCGTTGCGGGTGTCTTTGTAGCATTGGTTTAGTACCTTTGTTGCCATTGCAGTCATGGTGAACAACATCTACCTACACATGCTATTATCTTGCTATGTCCATACTTGAAGCTTACACAAATATTCTTTTAAACACAAAATATAGTCCACCAATAGACCACTAAATCTAGGTAGATGGTAGATGCACTTAAAAGTTGTTCTATTACCTGTGACGCACAAAACAAAAATGGTTTATGACTTCCCATTTAATGCCTAGTCAAAAATCCATATATAATATTTGCTAAGGTTCAGTTTCTTGGCATCTAGGGGGCTATGATGATTCTTTCATCTACAATTACAAAAGTTATTTGATTGTTGAACACAAGGATCTGGTACCTACAATTTTTTATGTCATGACTGCACTTTATCTTTCTAAAGTGTACACCAGTGGGTATCCTGAATTATTGGTTGGGGATTTAGTTCTTTAGGCTGCATTTGGAAACAATGCAATTAAGTGTGAATGCAAATATGTAGAGTGTAAAACGGTCTATATAAATTGCAAAGTTGGGTTAGTTTTGCATTGACATATTTACCTTCTTACCAAACAGACTTTTAGCTATAATGGATGCAAACACGAATTCCAATAAAGCATATGCCTTTTTTTATCAAAAGCCCACTTGAATGCAAAATTACTTCTTTTTTATTGATGTACTTGTACATCTTATTATCAATGTAAATATGCACTGGTTTGTCATTTTGTCAATGCATAAATGTAATGTTGCCAAACATAGGCAAAAGTGAACAATAGTGAAAATTTACCTTGAACCAGGATTTACACTTTAATTGCATTGTTTCCAAACACGACCTTACTTTTAAAAACTATCATTTCTAGTATTATAAGAGCCTTATAGTAATTTGGAGCCTCTTTATTGCTATAAGGTTGTTTCTTTTAGTTAAAGATTTTATTCAGTTGTATCTTAATGTGTTGCTAAAGGAAAGTATGGCTTCCTTCTCTAGGTCTTAAATTAAGCAAGGCCACAAACCATATCTACTAAGTTTTGTTAATCAAAAGAAAAAGTAACATAAAACACATAGATTTGTTACCAAGAAAGCACATAGATGTCGTAATAAAATAGCACCCTAAGTCCAAAGTATAAAGATGATGAGGTTTTAGTTGTAGAGAGAGAGAATGTGAGAGAGATAGAGAGAGAAAGAGAGATAAAACATTTTGGCTATTTGTAAGCTATTTAAGCATCCGCCTGGTTTTGTTAATCAAAAGGAAAAGTAACATAAAACACATAGATTTGTTACCAAGAAAGCACATAGATGTCATAATAAAATAGCACCCTAAGTCTAAAGTATAAAGATGATAAGGTTTTAGTTGTAGAGAGAGAGAGAGATAGACCTGGATGTGATTAGAATATAAGGTATAATTAAAAACATGATGGAGAAGAAGGCACATTACTTCAATCAAATCAGTTCCAGATTATAGGTGGTAGTATACTATGATTATCTTGCAGTCAAAGGAGTTGGATGATGATGAAAAGATATTTACAAAATAAATTATGGCTATTTATCAACAAAGATAAGTGGCTTTTGCATAGGAAACCATGAACAATAATAAGAAATCAAAAGCAAATAATAAAACTCGATGAACTAAAAAGGGGAAAAGAGATTCAATAGTGCCCCTTAGATACTTTGGATAATAAGTGTAGGTACATAGCACTCACTCAATCCCTCAAAGCACAGCGAACACTGGATTGATACCACACAGGTGCCTGCAATCTGCTTGCAGCCAATCTTTCCTCTGCGATGAACCTACAACACATCGCAGGTCTGTGATGAACCCACGGTTCAGCGCATGTTGGTGATAAATCCATTTTTAGCATAAGCCCAAAGCAGCCCTAGGACGAACTTGCGATGAGGCGCACACGTACCCAACCTAGCGATAAATTCTGAATCACCATGGGCCCCGGTTCATTAAGAATTGGATCTAGATCTTACCTACACATACACGACTTTGAGGTAACGAACACGATAAAATGTCACATAGGCCCGATAAGACGTCACCTGCCAGAAGGTGACGTCACTAGCGCCACGTTGGTTAAGTAAGGCGCGAAGGGGTAGTAGTACACATGAGCTATGAGGATCTCTGAGTGAAAAGAAAGTCAATCATTGACCAGATTTCCATAGAGACACGCGACAAAACCTCAATAGT